TCTTTCCCGTACGTGACTTTAAAACTGCATGATGGGGGAGAAAGTAATGCTCTGTCGAACGCCAGTCTACGCTAGATATCGACATGTGTCCGAACTCCTTATACTCCCGCATGAAGTCTGTATACTTCTTGCGGAAGGCCAAGTCTTTACTCATGCGGCGCTCCATTGACACTAACCTTTTCTCCGCTAGTGTTCTGGACTCGCCCAGAGGAGGTCGACCGGCACGAAAGGGTAGTCGAGTTATCAAGCGGCCAGAGGAGAGGCGACCAGTATTATTCCGGTAAAACAATTCACATTCCTCTTCCTCTGGATTAACTCTTTCGGCAGATGGGGGTTCCTCCACTTCCCAAAATCTCTGCATAACGTCAGAAAGGGTAGTCGCCACAACAGAGGTGCTATCTATACCGAGCGACGGGGAGATTCGGTTTACCGGTCCCATCAGGACGTAACCACCAACTGTCTGAATAGCGACTAGACCACCAGGCTGTAAAACACGTCTATTGTTTAAAAGCAATCGCCCCAGAACATCTGCTCCTAATAAGACGTCTACCGGAGCTGGGGTGTAGAACTTCGTATCCGCCAAAACTAAACCAGACGTCAATGATACAATGTTTGGGTCTAAGTCCACCGAGGGTTGTCTACCCACAACAGTGTTCAAAACAATCGCCGTTGCTGTGATTCTGGTGTTGGACATGGTTGCGGGGGTGAAAGTAAACGTTACTTCCCCTACTAGCTCCTCTACCTTTACATCACCAATACCTCGAATACCTTCCTGGTGAGGTCTAATCTTGAGGCCTAAATAGCCCACTAACCCAGATGATAGGACACAACCCTGAGCACCAGAATCCAAAAGGGCGCGAACCTTCACAGAGTTACCCTTCAGTCCCCTAACTATCACAGAGGCCGTCGGGAGTAGAACGGTCTCCGGAGGGGCAGCTGTGTGTGATTGAGAGGACGTTAATTGCTAGTAGGTGGGAAAGCGAACCGCCTCTCCAGAAGGGGAGGGTCGCTCAAAGCGATCGAGTGGGCTCCATACCAACTTACGGCGTTGGCATTGCAATGGAGAAGGCTCCACAACGGGTGGGGAAGTTTTTAACTCCCGAGGATCAATGGCGATACCGTAGCTATTAGGCTCTTTCACCTGACCGCGTGTCGGCGATTCCGTAGGGCCCCCGCCCGTGCGAGGTGCGCGATATTCATGCGAGTGTCTTGATTCCAGCTTATCGCCCCCTGAGTTCCTGCGGAACCGATTCTGATCGCAGCCCCCGCCCGTGCGAGGTGACTCCTGAGTTCGGGAATGTTGTTCAGGGCGCTCAGAATGCCGGCGTGCTGTATCAAACCCTAGCCCATTACGATTCATGCATAATGACGGATGATGATTTCCGTTACAATACCCGCATGGGTTTGGTCTGGAACATTCTCGCTGCATGTGTGGACCTAAACAAAAATAACACCATCCCCTCTGACGAGCTATAGCCCTACGGCCTTGTATGCGCTGCTCCATAAACTTTCCACAGCTGGGCATTTGATGACCAGGACCTTTACAGTAGATGCAGCGCGGGGTCTCTTGTACCGGGGTAAATTGCCTAAATGGTCGTGGATCCTGCCGTCCTGACCTGACTGGTTTCCGAGCAGTGGTTTGAAGATCTCGAGACCCTAACCAAGAGGGGCCGACAACGTCCGAATTATCGGCTAGCCTACACTCGTCCTCCATGAACTTCAACAAATCCTTGAAGGGCGGCAAATATGTGGAACTATCACCACCATATCGTTGCTCAAAGCGCACCTTCAGGTTATCCGGCAACTTCGCAAGTACTATATGTAGGAGCAAAAACGACCATTCCTCCACCGGAAGGTTTAAACTGCGAAGTGCGTTAATGGCTACCAGTAGCGGGTTCAATACGTCGACCCTCACGCGCATAACGTTTGTAACACGTGGAAGGGCTAAGATAGTGGCGATGTGAGCATCGGCGAGCCTTCTTACATTTTGATATCGCCGAGTAACAATATCCATAGCTACCTTGTAATTGTCATCTGTGGGGGCCAGGTGCTGTACCTGTTCACGGGCCTCCCCCTCTAATACGGTCAGAAGATACGCAAGCTTTTGCCCCGGAGTCAGGTCATCCCTTGCGTCGACGAGGCTATTAAATAGATTAGAAAAACCTTCCCATTCGTCGAGCCGCCCTGAAAAATGTCGAAGGTCTAGGGGAGGGAGACGAGACCACAGAGCTGGAAAGGATTTTGCCACAGTTTTAGAAGGATCCGGTTCTGCTTCCCTACCCTGATGGATGGGGCGAGCAAACTCAGCGATGCGATCCGACAAGTCGTAACACTGGTCGACGTCATTGTCAACCTCCTTACGAACGTCTGCATCAAGAGTGACACCTTTCTCTAAGAACAAAGCGTATTGTTCGTCTACAACGGCCATACGAATCGGCAAATCTACATATCTATTTATTAGGGCTTCTTGCCTATCCGGTCTGTCTATTAAGGCTGCGGCCGTCACCAGCCATCGTAATTCAGCCCTAATCTTTGCTTTACAGGAGAGTGCCGACATTGTTACAAATACGGATTACAAAGTTCTTAAAAAATACTGTCTAAAACAATGTCAGTACCTTAATTTAATAATCAAAATAAACTCTTCAAACATTAACTGTTTATTAATTATAAAGTAACATTCATATGAATTTATTTAACTTATAAAACTTTCAAATACGAAACGAGTGTAATTGATTATTTTCACAACAACAAAATTATATTTCCAATAAACAAACTCAATAACAACGTTATGTCCATTGACATACGGTCGATAATGTTCAAATACAAATCACCAGCAAGATTTTGTGCAAGTCATGCACACCTGATAACAGAACAAAAGGATCGCGCTGTCGCGATGCGCATTGCAGTTTTTGTTCAATATGATTTTATAATTCTAATCTAATACAAGTTTCTATCAACTTATGATATATGTTAATAATATATGTAGACACTGGAACCTTGGAACCCTACACGGCCTATACAATTGGCAAATCCAACGTGCCGTCCAGTAACAAAAATAATCAAAATATTTTATTGTTAGAACTTCAACTTAAGTGGTGTTGAACCACGCTCTGCTACCAAAATGTTCAGTACGCAGCCGGTCGTCGGTAGGGCAGAAACCACGTCGCCCTAACTTCGAACCAAAACGCCGGGGCGTACTTAGCTCCGCGATACACGGCTCGTTGGAAGGCACGTTAAATATGCCTAACCCTAACCAAATATAAAATCTAAGGACTTACAGACTAGTGTCCCATCAGCGGCTTCAGTACAACGGCGAGGGGAGGAGCGCTCCTCCTTATGCAGAACCCGCCGGCCAAAGCCAAGCGAATATGATTGGAATATCCAGGGTATTTGGAACACTTAAACTCACTACGACACAGGGGACCCTAATAGGCTACTAAGAAACACCTGATGCTATTATAATCTATTCTATTGCCCACGCGACTGGGACGGACAAATTGTGCACTTTGTCACCAAACCGATTCATTCGCTAACTTAAGACGGACTGACCGATGGGTACGCAATCGAGTGTTTTTACTCGCACCTCCCTTTTGTTCCTAACACTAGAAGAAAGACGGTAACGGGCCAAGGAGTAAAAAACTGGAAGAAATGGAAATTTGAAGATGAAATGTCTTTGTTTATTGCCCTATATGGCACATAGGCCCACAGTGTCTAATGTTGATGAGAGCGAAGAAGACCAAAATTCAGGTCTAAACGACGACAACTCAAACGAGAACAATAGGAAACAAAAAAAACGGAAAGATAACAACAATTACCAGGAACAAATATTAAATATAATGAAAACAAGGACATCGAATAAACCTGAAAAAGATGATGTTGATTTATTTTTTGAAACGATGGCCAAAAAAGTGAAGAAGTTCCCCAAATTGGATCAAATTCAATTACAGTTTGATATAATGAAAATGGTCCATGAAATTGAAATCAGATGCGAAACATCTGCTATAGAATCTTCTGCTTCTTCCAGTAGATCGTCAGTAATGTCAACACCGTCACAGTCGCCGTTCGTTCGACGTACATCTTTTCCTTATTTAAGAGAATATTCTATCTCACCTTCGTACGTACCGCAATCTTCACCCTCCTCGCCTCAAAATGCCCCCCAAGCACACTCTCCTCTCACTCAACAACGTGCTTCGCCTTCATACGTACCACAGTCTTCATCCTCACCTCACAATGCCCACCAGTCACACTCTGCTCTCACTCAACAATCTGCTTCGCCTTCATACGGACCGCAATCTTCACCCCCTCCTTCTCAGATCCAACAGTTTTCATCGTCTATGTACTCTGACATACTCCAACCATCTACTTCACGAATTCCTTACACGCAATACAGCTCTCAACCGTTGCAGCAGACACAAGATTCTGTTATTGAGCTTTCGATCCCAGAAGAAACAAGTGAAGTATATGAAGGTCCAGCAAAATCAATACTAGAATTTTTGATTGTGAACAAGCGTAAAAATAAATAAGAAAATAAAATAAAGCACTTGTATTATTATTCACCTACCTCAAAGTTACCAGTAAACGTTCCATTGCAGATATTGGCGTGCGAAACTGTGTCATTTGTTTCTCGATATCATGTTCAATTAGACTAAGCAGAAACATAAATTGATCTTCATTCATTCTTAAATATAATTTATAACGTTTTTCGTCCTTTTGTAAATCAGGATACAAGGTGTGAAATTCACCAAACTCTATTCGTTTTTTATTAATATTATGGACCCAAATTGTTTTTCTTTTTTTTGGTGGACAACACAACGCAGCTACCGCTAATGATTCGAAATAATCGTCCTCACTATCGCTGCTTGACATGTTTTCCAGCTGAAAATTCTTCGTGGAATGCTGGCCAGATGTCCGAGGACGCATCGTCCGGACAACCGTGCACATTTTTAAGTCGCGTCCATCAGCCGCGGCTTACGGACGCGTCCAATAATATGTTCCCAGCTTTATGCCCTAACACGTCCTATGTGAGAGCAGCCTTAGAACCGGAAACAGAAGTCAATGTTACCATAGAAAAATAGATGCATTTGAGCGTCGCTTTTGATTTTGACATTTTATCGCGTCTCAACAGCTGTTTTCCAGCCGCCTCATGAAATACGTTTTATCAGTTACTCTACACGTGCTAACTCATTAAAAAAGGTTATTGCTACTGTTATTAGGGATAGTGAATTGTTATAAAAATGGAAGAAGATGGTGCAGTTCAAGGTATGAAGTGAGAAATCATAATTTAACAAAAAAATATAATAATAGCTACCAGGCAGTGCCCATGCTTTCATGCAATTTTTAATTTTATTTTGTTACTGATTTTCAAAAGTTTTATGGTTTTCTGCCAAAAAACGTTATGGTATGAGCTCGTATCGTATCATATATTGTTTGAAAATGTTATTTTAATTTGTCCCTTATGTTATAGTGTTGAGAACTATTCATGAAAGACCATTATTTATATAGAAGAATTGTGTTAAATATATATGTGGAGGAGAAAATATACTATCATAACTTAATCAGGATATTGCTTTAGGATAAAGTTAAGACGCACCACCACTCTTCAGAACTTTCTAGGTTTTCTATTATACTTTGATCATTTCAAAATTTCAAATGATCTTATATCAGCTGCAGATCTAAGTTTATTCCATACTTAGTTGTAGTGTTTGTAAGGGTCTTTTGAATCCCTTTTCTTTTTGTACTTCTATTGGTTTTACTATACCTATTTTATTGATTTTTCACCATTTTTATATATCCTTTTGTGAGTTTTGCTTTTAATACTTAATTCAATTTCCTTCTTCGAATTGAAGACTTCAGTAAGCTATTAACTAATGTTCCATAAAATCAATTTATGTAGCTGTTGGACCTGATCCTAACATGATTCTCACTTACATTATCTGCAAAGTCTGATGATAAGGATATTCTGCTGTCAAATTAAGTTTTACACTTTTATGTTAAGAGATGAAAGCCCAGTGATAATTTTAAACTATCCCATGTTTCTAATCTATATTTGCAGCACCCGTTACAAGATTAAGACGAAGACTATCAGTGGAACAAACTGAGGATGTAAATTCACCAGGGCCGGCTACACCTACAAAAAAAAGAGGTGCCAGATTAGCAGCAAAACCACAGTTGGAACTTATTGATGAAAATTGTAGGTTATATTTACTTTTTAATTTTAGGAAATTCCCAAGCAGTTACTTTTCCTTGATAAAAGATGAAGTTTTATTGGTAAAACTGTACTTCCAGGGCCCAAAAGGTGATACTTGTTTTTTTTTGTAGAAAAGGTCTTTTTAACAGATTTTTTTTTCTGGCGCTTCGCCGGCCGCTTCCGCGGCACGTTCGCTTTGCTCACTCGGCTCGCGCTTTATGGTCACAACACTAACCTAGTGTGAAGTATCACCACTTGATAAGAAAAGTAAAAAATTTCAATATTTTTTTTCTAAAAAACTACCAGTGCATTGTGACATTTTTTTTAATAATGTGGTTAACAGAAACCTTTTTAACAACAAAAATGCGAAATTACAACCAACAAAACTGTGAAGTTTTTACTTTTGGGCCCTGGAAGTACAGTATATCCGTATTTACCATGAAATGCTCAATTATATTTGTGGCCTTGCAAAACAAGTGTTTCCTCCTCTATACTTTCTTGACTTGATCAAGTACTTTGCTGCTGTGAAAGTAATGAAAGAATAGTTATGTTTTTATTTTCTAAGCATTTAACTGCTAGATGTTTAGAGTCCTGTCTGCTGCCTGGTCCGCATGGATTTTTTTCTAGTAAACTTTTGTAGTGAAACTTTTAGTAATGAAAGAAGCTTTACCGTGATACATAAATATGCATTATGTTATCATTGATAAGGTCTCATGGCCTGACTTGTTAGAATAGCTACAGGTTATAGCAGAACAGACGTGCTAAAACCTTAGGACTTGTCAGGATGTGCGTCAAATAGTTACCATAAATACCCCATCCCCCTAACAATCTCTTGGAGCACCATCAATGTTATTTGCATTTTGTGGAGCCAAAAGGGAAGCAGTCTGACACTGACATTCCAATATTGCCTCTCAAAAACTTTTTCTTGCAAAAGGTCAAAAAATCATAAATCATTTATTCAGTCTAGGCTGTTACAAGTACTTGTGAAGGTCAAGAAGCTATGCAATCGGTCCGCAAAACTACTGCGGGCGACCTTGTACTGAGAAGAACCAGCAAGAAACTCAGCAGGGGTGTTTTTTTCACCATGTATTGTTATAAACAGAAACATCAAGTTGAAAAGTGACTTCAGAGATACTTCACCTTTCATTACATCATTTAGGATAGAGATATATAGTTACAATAAATTTTATAGTGTGGTATGTTGGGTGATGGCGGCAGGTTATAATAAATACAAAGACGTAGATAGGTTGGTGTCCATTTATTGAAGAAGGCTTAATGGTACAAAACATACTTATTTATAATATTAGTGCACTACGTAGTTACACACACACACACTTATAAAATATAACACACAATATTATTACAAAACATCAGCATTTCACGTGGCCTACTTTCGTGTCATTCAATGTTGCGTTGTATTATTAATACATATTTATTAAATTATTTTCATACTATCACACGCCCCCCAAAAATCTCCATTACACCCCTCTCCTCAAAAAAGAAAAAAAAAAGTGTTACATTTTTTTTTGAACCACATACATTCAGCTAAATATTATCATTATAAAGTTTCGTATTATTCTTATGTACTACGTACTCTCTATTATTTTTTAATATCTTTACATTAGGTGACAATTCCTCTATTACTTCATAAGGGCCGTTATACACTCTATCTAACTTATCTCTTATTTGATTTTTTACCAAAATTAAATCTCCTTTTTTATATGTTATCGGGTAACTATTTTTATCAAATGTAGTTTTTCTACATAATTTATTAGTTAATAAATTTTTTCGCGCATCACACAGTGCTCTTTGTAGTCTATGTCGAAGTTCCTTAGGATAGTCATCATAGTTATATAAGGGAGTTACAGAGTCACTTAAGTTACTAGGTAAAATACAATTTTTTCCAAACACTAGCTCGTAGGGAGTATATTTTGTTTGCGTGTGTACCGAGGTGTTGAATGAGAAACACCAGTACGGAACCCAACTACTCCAATTGCTTTTGTGACTCTCACATTGTATTCTTAGAAAAGTGCCGAGATGTTTGTGAGTATTTTCTAACGATCCCATAGTTTCATGGTGATATGCAGTGGACTGTAATTTTTTAATACCTAATAAGCTACATATTTCGGTCATAATTTCGTTAAGAAATTCTGTTCCCTGGTCTGTAATTATTTCTTTTGGGATTCCATATCTAAGGATAAAATTATTTACAAAAGCTCTCGCTACCGATTCGGCGTCTTTGCGCTGCAAGGGATAGGCTTCAACGAACTTTGTTAGGTCGCACTGTAGAGTTAGTATGTACCTATGATTGTAATCGTCAACTTGTAAAGGTCCCATTATATCTAAACTAATTCTTTCGAAAGACGAATTAGGGGTAGTCGTTAATGACATAGGTTCCTTAATGTATCTATTGGTGTATTTATTTATTTGACAAAGCTTACATTTATTGACATAATTAACGACATCCTTTGTAATGCCTGGCCAAAAATAGTATTTTTTAATATTGTTTAGCATTCTATTTATCCCAGCATGCCCACTGGTGGGCAACAAGTGGAAGTCATTTAATATAACTATCTTTTCGTCCTCATTTCTGATACGCTTAACATCTTTAGTTATCAATAATCGCGGCCGACTCAACTTTAGTTTTTTAATTGTACTTGCAAGTAACTTAATATGTCCTTCATATATTTTATTTTTGATAATAAGCAATTCTAAGATATTTAACTTACTACAAAAACTCTCTAAATCTCTCGCTAACGCTTCTACAGCTGATAGCGATCGAGCATTTAGATAAATTATTGACCGCTTTGGTACATATACACAATTTCCACTTGAGGACGTAAAAACTTCGTCGTTTCCGTCATATTTGACCGAGTGACTAAAACATAATTCGATAATATCCGGTGGTGGCTTGAGAATTTCCACGGCCAAGGGGTGATCAGTCCCATGACTATGCAAATTTTCAGGCTTACTATAATTCTCTAAGTCACAGTTTTCATTACGACTATTTTTTTTTGTTTGTGCTCTAGTAAGTACTGATACTAAGTGTTCACGCATATTTTTTAAATCATCCGATGTCACCGGGATGCGACTCAATGCGTCTGCAGCCGCGTTGTGTCGTCCTGGGACATAGCCTATCTCAAAATCATATTCCTCTAAATATAAACGAAATTTAGTTTGCCTACTGGAAGGATCTGTCATAGAAAATAAATAAATAAGAGGCTTGTGATCGGTTAGAATTTGGAATTTCCTACCATATAAATAAGGTCGAAAATGCCTCACTGCCCAAACTATGGCTAATAGCTCCAAGTCTATAATCGGATATCGCGTCTCAGCGGGCTTTAAACTTCTACTTGCGTATGCAATAACTCTATCATTCCCATTGGATAATATTGCACCTAAACCTGTTCTTGAGGCATCAGTCTGCAATTTAAAAATATTATTTTCAGAAAAATCGGGATAATCCAAAACTGGGGGTTTTATTAAAGCAGATTTTAATTTTTTGAATGCTTCGTCACAATCAGCTGTCCAATTAAATGCAACATTCTTTTTACAAAGTCTATTTAGTGGATGTGCAATTTCAGCGAAATGTAAAATAAATCGTCTATAATAGTTAGCGAAGGCCACGAATCTTCGGACCTCGTCAACGTTAGTCGGTGTCGGATAACTTTGCAAGGTTGTTATTTTGCTTGGATCAGGAAATATGCCTTTACTTGTTATTTTATGTCCTAAGTATACTATCTCTGTTCGTAAAAATTCACATTTTAAAGGATTTAGTTTTAAATTAACTTTTCTTAAGCGTTCTAACACAGAAATTAGGTTTTTATTATGATTTTCTATACAATTTCCTATAACGATACAATCGTCTAAATAAATAAAACATTGATTATAATTCAATCCAGACATAGCTATAGTCATCAATCGAGAAAATACGCTAGGACTAGTTTTAAGTCCCATCGGACAACGCTTCATTTGGTATATTTTATCAGCTGTGAAAGCGGTGCACTTACGTGAATCGGGATGAAGGGATAATTGGTACATTCTATCTAAATGGAAAGCAGTGTATTTTCTTGAATTTTCATTTAAATTTAATTGATAATAACTTTGGGACAAATCTAATTTTGAAAAATACATAGAATTTGATAAGGAATCTAAAATATCTGTAATATTGGGAAGTGGAAATTTATCATCTTGAATTCTATTATTTAATTGCCTATAGTCAACGACAAACCTATACTTCTTTTCATTATTTTTGTCGGTCTTTTTCGGAACAAGCAAGACGGGACTAGACCACTCCGAGGTGGATTCCTCAATAATATCGTTGTCTAACATATCCTGTATTTGTTTACGTAACTCTGGTTTTAAAGAGTGTGGTATTCTGTAGGGTTTTATATAAACAGGAGTCGCATTATCCTTTAAAGTAATTTTATGCTCCATTAAATTAGTGACTGATAGTTTATCACCTGGGAGATGAAACACGTCCGCGTACTTAGCGCAAATAGACTCAATGCTAAGTCGTTCATCTTTGTTTAAATAACCTAGGTTAAGAAGCTCAAATAATGTTTTTACACGATTTACGGAAATTTCCCTTTCCGAAAAATTACAAACATCGAAATGATGCAAACTATATACTTCTAAATGAGAAAAATCATAAATTAGGTCATTTTCCGTCGTATTTAATATTCTAATCGGGATAAGCCCGTTTCTAGGCCTCGACAAAACACCTGCAATAAATACTCCCTCTCTTATTTCATTCGCAAGGACGACACAATCGTCGGTTATATTCGTAGGTATGAACTTAATAGTTTCACACCTCGCAGGTATGTTGTGTTTATACCTGTTATTTATACACATACTTATCGATTTAGACGACTGAGTTAGGCTTAAAATGCCTTTACCATAATCAATTAACGCTAAATATTGTTTTAAAAAGTTATCACCTATTATTCCATCTGCAGAGCATGACAGGTTCTTAAATACGTAAAATTTATGTGTAAAAGTCATACTGTTACTACTTAATTCTAAATAAATGTAACCTTCTGATATTAACCTACCGCTAACACCTCTAATAGTTAATCTTTCGGGAACAATTTTATTTTTCAAATCACTAAATACCTTAGCTAAATATTCATACTTAATTACACATAAACTGGCACCAGTGTCTATTAATAAATGTATTACCCTATCTCCTAAACTAAAAGCTACCGTACTCGAAGTATTATAATTGAGAACTACATGCTCTGTTTTCGTTTGAGGAACGAAAAAACTGACTCTCACTCATGGTTGAGGTTGGAGCTCGAGGCTGCCTTACCTCAGTGTCGCAGTACGTATGGTGGACACGGGAATAGCCTCGTGTACGGGGCTGATACTGCGCGCCTGGCGTTGACCAGCGCGCGGCCGGGGAGGGTGCGCCTCGACCTCGACCGGAACCACGGTGCGGCGCAAACGTGCGCGGCGCGCTCACATAATGCGACTGGATCGGGTTACCGTATTGAGCACGCGAGTTACTATAATAATTATTGCCAATATTTCTACCGCGGAACCCTTTATTAATAAAATGAAATGTTTTCGTGGACTTAGGGTGGTGACGAAAATTCATAACTTGTTCCCCACTGGTAGAAAGCGTCTGCTCGTCTATAGCACTACGGATTGCCTCAGGAAGAGAAAGAAATTCCTTTGATGCAATAATAATACTCAATCTAGAGTTTGCCAAACCATCGGCAAAGCGTTTTATAGCGATCTTTTCATTAATTGGTCGCAATACGTCATATTTTGAACTATCGCCATCGGCCTGTGCTAATGTCAAATTAGAGAAGATATCTTCTAGTTCATTACCGAATGCTTCTATTGACCTATTTCCCTGTTTTACATTTTGTAACCGAGACTGAAGAGCGACTGCCGATTTTTTTTGTACTAAATACTTTTTCATGTCACTGAGCAATGAACCAACTGTTGTATAGCTACCGCGTAAGCGAAGTTTCGCGCTAGGAGATAATCTTGTTTTTATAACAAAATCTATAAGTGAATTTTTCGATGTCTCATCAAGTTTAGAACTATACATTTCTATACCGTCGATTAATTGTTTGGTGACATGTTCCTGACCAGTCATTATGGGAAGTAAACTAATAGCCGTTTTAAAGTCAAAGGACATTGTATCTGCCATTTTTGTAGTTTTAGAACTATCGGGATCTCTAGTTGAAAAGTAACTAATTTATTTATTTCACTATAAATTAAATGAATATTATTTACTACAGAATTAACTTTAATAAGATCTTCGGCACTTATCTCAGAATTATTAATATTAGCTTTAATTTCACACAAAATAAACTCTAGTTGCAAATAAATGACATTGGCTTCTTTTAATTTAGTTTGACCGATTTCTTTCTTTCTACGTTCAGGGCCTATTTTACTTAAATATACTTTTATTTCCTGTAACTTACTATATAATTCAACTAATTTATGAGACATAACTATCTATTACTTCTAATTTAATAAAATAACTCATAATTGATTTCTAGAAATAGCAGCTAAATTGTACCTACTTAAATTTTCTTCCAATTCACTTGCTGATGTCACGAGCTGCGGCGGGCGGCGTTCTTGTGGCGGTCACGTTCTGCTGACATCAAACAACGTGGCCCGTGCTGCTGTTCCTGTTGACGGCCGGGACGGGGACTTCTTAGTTTGATGGTCTTGCTTGCATTTCTAAGGTGCTGTGGTTGAGCTCCCTTCTCTACGAAAGAATAGCATTTCTTCGGCACTTCTTGTACAATAGGTATGCGGCACCGACGAACAGAATGACGAATAGCGTGATGAGCAGTATCTCGGTAAGGTTCAACTTGGTCTTCGTTACTTGAGCGCTTCCACCGGCGTTTTGAGCGATGATAATTTCTTCTTTGGACTGTGAGCTACGGCACATTGTTATTGGTAATTGGCGCGATTGTCCCAAAAATAAGATTCTTCATAATAATTTTCAATCTTCAAACTTCTTCTTACTTGACGTTCAGTTCAGTTTCAATATCTTCTTTCTTCAATTTATTTCTATAATTTTTCTTCCAAATTTCGCAGGGTCGCCATGTGGTATGTTGGGTGATGGCGGCAGGTTATAATAAATACAAAGACGTAGATAGGTTGGTGTCCATTTATTGAAGAAGGCTTAATGGTACAAAACATACTTATTTATAATATTAGTGCACTACGTAGTTACACACACACACACTTATAAAATATAACACACAATATTATTACAAAACATCAGCATTTCACGTGGCCTACTTTCGTGTCATTCAATGTTGCGTTGTATTATTAATACATATTTATTAAATTATTTTCATACTATCACAATAGTTAACTTTAGATTTAATTAATTTGTCTTTATACTACTTTAGAAAAAACATTACACTCTTTTTTTAAGCAGTTGTGTAAAAAGGCACTGGCTTTGTATGTATTTTTATGGAGATCTCAAAAACTAGTTTTCACCATCGGTACAATACATTTTCACAATAGATATGAAGGTGTAAGTATAATAATAGTAATTCAATACTAAGCATAACAAAATCAGAATATTGCTAAAGAAATAAAATAATCTGCAATACATTTTACAGAAAGTGACTGTCAGATAACCTTGGTTTCACATACATTGTCCTGACTTATTGCAATATTTACTTTCTGGAAAGTTTGCATATGGTAGCAATAATAATACAGCAATGTTTAAAGTATTATTTTCATAGTTTCATATCCATTTTGTTAACTTAAAAGCAAGTATTATAAGTACTTACATATTTTTTTATAGCTGGCAGTACTTCAAAAAGACCAACAAAAAAGTCTGCTGTCAAGGAATTAGTAGAGGTTCCAGATGAAAAGCCACTAACGCCATCTAGACGCAGCACTAGGATCAAGTCTAACACAAGTATTGTATCTGAAAACACTCAAAGCTATGAATCACCAAGGGCCAAAAGAGCTGCCAGAAGATTATCGCAAGTTGGTAAGAATATGAGTGTTGAATTATGTGACTTCATGAAACAAATTATTAAGAAAGTAATTAAAGTTTCAAATAAAAGTACTTGTAATAAAAAAACTTACTCCCTTGACAAAAGACTTAGTAAAAAGATAAAAACAAGAACCTTGATGTAAAAAAGAATGTAATAGTGATTTTCATTATTGTTCTGGACACAAAAGAATTAAAACATCATAGACAGAATATACTTATTTAGGCAGCAATCCATTATAGCAAGTTAAATAAAAATATTGTTATTATTATAATTATCATCAAGTAAGACTTGTTTTTGACATGTTGGTTGAGTTTTGACTAGGTATTCGTTTTTAAATTAGTTTTTTATTATATTTTATGTATTAATTTCTGTTTTGTAAGGAAACTTAAATCCACAGTAAAAATTACCAATTTTAATGTTAGATTACATTGACACTGGTGTCGATTCTGACATGATTCTCTAAGCCTAAACTAAATTTGACAATTGAGTATCCTTGTCATTCTTTGTTCAGAACGAAAAGAAGAGACTCAAGTTAACTATAGTTTTAAGTTTAGAGAATCATGCCAGAATCGACACCATTGTACTTTATCTGGGTTTGGGGGTTTCTTTCCAGTTAATAATTTGAAATCTTAATACTGAAACAGGTACACCTGTCTGTAAAGGGATAACAATTCAAAATAATATTAAGCAAAACATCTATAAAGACTTGAAAATGTATACAATGGATTTAAAAAATAATAATTAACAAATATAAGAGAACCTAAAGTACCTATATCATTTTTGGACTTCTCCAACCTATAGAGTGCCAAATTATATTGATCTTCATCCTTTTTTCCGTTTTATTTTTCAGGTAGTGATAATGAATCTACAGTTACACCTGTCAGACAAACCAGAAGAATTCGAAAAGATTCTACATCCAGTAATGATAAATTAGGTATGTAATGCGTCTGGTATGTTCATTGCAATTTTAACTATCACTATAAAAATAACCTATTTTAGTATCAATATTAATTAATGTCTTATAATGTTTTCTTAAAGAAATGACCTTTGAATAAATTCTGAAAACTTAGCAACTATTGTGAATCATAATGTTAGGTTAGAGATTTTGTCAATTTAATATTTTTGCTTATATTTTTATGTAAATTTTCATAATAATTGAAATTTTCATTTTAGAGGCAACATTGTCTTCAAAACCAGCAAATATAACGGTGCTTATAATTGAAGAAGAGTCAAATACTCAAAGTTCCAAAGTATCTACAACAACAAATGACATAAGTGACAATCAGCCATTAAGAAAAAGTCCACGATTAAAAGAAAAGCTAAAAAAGAAAGAACAGGGAAGTAAAGATAACTCTACAGAAAACCTTAATTCAACCAGTAACAATACTTTAAATGATCTGAACATTGTAAATGACTCTAAGGCATCTCAAAATGACAAAGAAAATACCAACACAGAAAAAAATGCTGAGAAATTATCTGATAGTAGTCTAAATTTAATAAAGGAACTAGATAACGAACAAAAACGAGAAGTTTGCCATTATACAAATAAAAGTATGACTGCCTTGGAAACCCCAAATAGTTTCAAAACCCACAGGCAAAGAACGAAATCTCTGACAGCTATATCAAAGTCCGAAATAAATGACAGTGCATTCTTTAGTGACAATGAAAAGACTAAAAAAAAAGTGAAGAAGAACAAAAGCCCTACTGATTTGAACTTGAGTGAACAACACTTTGCATCTGGTGATAACAGGGAAACAAAACAAATGGTTCACCAACTACGTATGGTATATAAAGATATTATGAAAGATAAATTACACAAATCAGACTTTGAAATTGTGCCTTCTGAAATTAATGGTGAACCAATATTTGAAGTCACAACTAATTTGTCTTTAAAATCAATCTCGAAAGATGTACTCGACATCAACGCTCTGCAAGGAAGTAAAGAGAAAAATCTAATTATGAATATTGAGGAGGAGGATCCTCCATCAAACGAAATGTTTTCGAAAAATCCATCATGCACTAGTTTAGGGTCTACTGTGTTATTAGAAGAATCAGACACGGGAACTAATTCCCAAGTCATTAGTAAAACTTTTAATTCTGAAGATCAGTGTGTTCCTGTTGTAGAATCAATAGAAAACTGTGAAAATTCTGACAATACGAAAAGATTAAATACATCAGTTAACAAAATGACAGAAGAAGCAGAAGCAGAAACCCAAAATTCCTTAGGCTTAAATAAAAAAGAACATGTCAGTGTTGAACCTATGGATATCGACGTGACTGTTCCAAATAATACATTGATATCTGAAAATTCACAACTAAATATATCATCTGGATCTCCCAGTAGGAATTCTGATTATCAAGCTGAAGATCTCAATAAAATGTCCAGTAATTTATCCCAAAAATCAACACCTTCACATTCTATAGAAAATCGGAAAAAATCAGAAAGTGAAAATAAAAGTACTTTAATAATTTCACAGTTAAAAGATTTATCATCAACAGAAAACAGTTTATCTAAATCCCCTCGTTCACACCAAGAACTTTTATCTAAATCGACACCTGTAATAACGAATGATAATGCGGTAGACAAAACAAATCTTTCTCTTGACTATTCTACAAGCACCCCCCTACAACAAAAGTTTTTAAATAAAATAGGTATGCAAATCAACACTTCTCTTATTGAGGTTTACAAAAATGAAATTATGAAATCAAATAACAGTAAGAAAAATATATCGAAATCGACAGAAATTGACTCTTCGTATGAAGAAGAATCTGAGACTGAAAATTCTTCAAGAACTAAAAGCTTACTAGACGTGGAAGCTGACGTTGCTAGTGATGATTATGAATCTGGAGACAGTCAAGACGAAGAAGAAAGACAATATGAAGCAGAAAATGAAATTTTGGAAAAGGGGGAAACTTTAGATTCTGAAAATGATTTTTCTAATGATACAGACTATGAAAAAGATTCATTTGTAGTTAGTGCCAATGAAGAGGATTTAGATTTGTTAAGTGGCTCTGGAGATGACCTTGCCATGAGTGACAATGAACTGACAATGAGTAAAAAGTCGAAAAAAAAGTATGATGACCGCAAAATAAAAGAACAGAAAAAAGCTTCAAAGGAAATGTACGAAGCTCGCCACAAGTTAGATAGAAAGAAATCAAAAACTAAACAATTTCAGATAAATTCTTCAGATGATTCTGAAGATGAAGAAGCACCGAAAAAACAATATAAACATCGAAGAATAAATTCTTCTGGAGATGATAGGCTCGATAAATCTATTGCAAATGAATCATCAATTAAAAAGAAGACAAAAAAAAGAGTTCTTTCAGAATCTGAATGTAATGACAGCATAAGTAAAGAACAAGAAATAACGGTTTTTAATAATAGTGTTGTAGGGGATGACCCCTTATCAGGAAATTTGAAACAAGAGCCTAAAACTCCTCTTAAAGACTTCAATTTATCGACAGTCCAAATCATTGACAAAATTGAAGAAACAGAAGTTCAAAACAATGTATCATTTTCGAAAACTAACCAAACATCAGATCCGTTATACGTTTCAATGGCAGATGAACAATCTTCATCTTTGAGTGAAAACTCTGAAATTATTAATAACTATGACTCCGTGCTTAAGCAACTTAATAATGATGATACAAAATCCGAGACAGTGAAATCTCTTCACACTTCAATTAATATTGACCAGAAAAGTAAAAAAAATAAGACACCGATTTTGGATGAGTTAAATCTGACACATACCAAAAAATCCAAAAGATCTAAAAATATTGACATAGATGTTGTTGATACGTCACAAACCAAGTTAGAAAAGACTAATAAAAATCAAAGTCAATTAATATCTAATGAGGAAAGTTCTTCAGACGCAATTGATTTGCATCTACTATTTTCTGAAGATAGTAATGATTGTGACACAGATAAAGCGCAAACACATATTGAAATAAAAAAGGATTCTGTCGATAATTTCATACCACTAAAAAGAACGCCTGGCAAAACTAACATCACGTACGAGCAAGGTAATAAACTATAATTATTTAAAAAGGTGTAATATACACTTGTCATATTAGAATAATAGTGTTGTAAATTTTTAAAGTAACGATTTTTTAAAACATCTCTATTTCTCATGAAATCTTCCGAAATTAAATTGCATTAACTTGTATTTTTTCAGATAATGAGGAATCCACAAACAGTGAAATTAAGTTTATCATAGACACAGAGGGTTCAAAACAATCATTAGATGACTCCTATAATAACACATCGTCAAACAGTACAACAAAAAAGAAGAAGAAAAAGTCACTAAACATTTCAAATTCACAAGAATTGTTGACAAATGGTACAAAACCAATATTTTTATTACCTCGACATTGTATAGTTTATCTTTGTTTATAACATTTATAGTCAAATTCCTTTATTGTCATTCCAGATAGTAAGCCTTATGATAAAAATGATGATAAACCTTTTAAAATTCTATTTGAAAGCTCTAAGAATGATAAAAGTAGGCTATCTTTAGAACAAAGTAAATTTAAGGCCGATATATTACCTTATCTAAAAATATGGAATAGCTGGACCTTATCTATGTTCGCATTCTTAATTTATCTAATTTGTATTGATTTTAGATGCTGTCGATACTTCATCTTCTGCAAGTACTAAGAAAAAGAAAAAACACTTTTTAACACATGAAAACTCAATAGGTTCGTATTTTAATTAAAATAGCAATGATACTAAATACCTTATATACAAAAACACAAACAAAAACATATTAACATGTTATAAGCATTAACTCTATGCACGGGAAGGAGGCTGATATAATGCTGAGGCTGGTATAATAGGAACAACCGGCTGTCAAAATTACAAATATCAAAGAACCGTGTGAAGTGCCTGCATAATGCTGGCACTCCACATGGCTATTCTTAATAACTATTAGTAAATTTGACAGCAGTCTCGCCTTTTCATTTCCTAAGGCCTCCTTCACACGTCAACAAATTCATCATCAGATGGATCACCACGAGCCGACCACACCTATGATGAGGTCTGTAGGTCATTCAATCTGTGTTAATTCTCAACAGATGTAACAAACACGCACGCAACATTAAAAAAAAAAAATCTAAGGTGTCACAGCTATTTATTATTTTTAATTAAACTTTAGTTGCATCGCAGTAATTAGTTGCAAAGCAGGAGGTGGATAATGGCTATTATCAGCAGTTTTCTGCTTGAAAGGTATATTATTAGCCATTTCGGCGAACGAGGGAAAGAATAATTCTCCAATTCAATACTAATGCGTCATGAGACGCGTATAGGCGTAACGCTGGGCGTTCGCACTGAAACCCTATGTTGCGTGCTACAAAAACCGACAACAAACGGATTGGTGGCAGCCACACGTGCCGACGTAAAATACCTACCAGAGACAAGCAAACTACTCCGTCTACACGTCGTCGGATGCATCCGAAGATGTCATCTGTAGGTAAATCTGTCGACGTGGAGAGGAGGCATAAAGAGAATGATAAGGATATACTGCTGCCAAATGTACAAAAACAACAACCGAAAAGCAGTCGTGTAATAATATAATGTTGTCCAAAAACAGATTATCAAACTAATGCATAATCAGGATACTAAAAACTTATAAAACTCTATGTATTAATTAATTTTAATTTCACACTTAGATGTAACTGCAGCGGAAACGTCTCTCGGTAGTCATGGCAAAAAGAAGAAAAACCTTTCTGAATCACAGCTTGAAAAATCAGGTAAATTCAATAATATATCTAGATTAGAAATGCTATTCTCCACCACAGAAATTAGGGGCCATCCATAAATTACGTCACACTTTAAGGGGAAGGGAGGGGGTCGACGAAATGTGACATCGTGTGACAAGGGGTGGGAGGGGTCCTAAATTTCGTGACGTCACATTTCAAAATATATTAAAATCTAAGTGTTGAAACTATTACTTTACGAAAGCATTAACAACCCAAACGAGAACAAAGTGGTGATATGCCAGTTATAAATAATTTAAAGGAGTGGGATCAATGTCCATGGACTCAAGATAATTAAGTTTGTATCTTTAATTTAATTATAATGCTATTAATATTTTATGTTTTGTTAATTTCTTTAATTAACATAGTCAATCACTTTTTGTTCGGTAATTTCTTTAATAAATATAATTAATCTTTTTTTTTTGTTTTGTTAATTGTTTGATTTGATTATAATAATAATGAAAACACAATTTAAATGGAAATAAAACTGATTACAGAACCGCTGTTTTCATTCAATGATTTCTAAATGTAAATTTGCAAAATATGTGACGTCACACTAGGGAGGGGGGGAGTCTTACAAATGTGACCAGCTGTGACAAGGACGGGGGGAGGGGCAAAAAAGACATGAAATTCGTGTGACGTAATTTATGGATGACCCCTTAGCTACAACACCATTATTAATATTAACAAGTACATGTCTGATCTTCGAGCTGGTTCCACTTATATTGTTCATATCATTTAACCTTTGTGTATCCTTATGTGAGTAACATTCCTAAATACATATTCATGAAACATCTGTTGAATCTAGTACCGCATGAACTTCCCTCATCACAAGTACAGTGCGACAAGGGTCTGTATGAATGTGAGTGACAGTTTAGGGAGGGCGCCACTGTCTACGTAAATGACCGTGAATGATATACAAAATATGACGTTCACAAAGACGGCGATGTTAGTTTCAATTTTCGCCACATTCATAAAGATCCTTGTCGCACTGTTCTGTTTTTCTTCCAAGCTTTTTAAGATTAAGTGAAATATTTAGAAAAGTTGTTATACGTAAAATAGTAATCACTTCCTATTTTATTTTCAGAACCAAACCCCGCAACCATATCCCCCGCTATTCGTGACAGTGTTAAAAAGAAGAAAAAACATTCCGAATCGCAGCTTGAACATTCAGGTAAATTCAACAATATATCTTGATTAGAAATACCGTAGTCCATAAAGTTAAGAAGAGATATAATCCAGCAAAGCAAGTACCTTCATTTCTGTATCAATGTTCATTCGATTAAGAGCCACTTGGACCACTTATCAGTTAACTTTGATGACTTTACCAAAGGGCATTGGGAACTTTAGAATGGAGGAATATCCCACAGCAGACAAATGAATTCTATATTATTTTAAAGCTTAAGGCCTCTAGATATGTTGAACTTGAGTGTATATTTGCGACCCACAGGAATATTGAGATATAAAGACAACAACATACACTTATATTGTGTGTTGAAAACAAACAATTCTGGGAACCATTTTTATTTTTCTGTATCCTCCTAGGCAAGGGGAAGTGCGTGTGAAGTCATCATGTATATCCTACAGCTTGCTGCAGGGTTATGTGAGACACTTTCTGACTAAAACAAACCCCTGGGGGAACGCCTTTGTCCATAAGGACCTTACAGGCTTTGCTGATACAAAAACCTCATTTTCTCAGCGTTCCCACAGGTTACAGAAATAAAAATTGCACAGGGATAAAGTATCTACTTGATCCTTTCAATATATATGTGGATGGATATTTTAACTTTATACGTTACCTACATGTAAAAAGCTATGTAACTTATGCAATAAATATGTCATACCTATTGAATACAAGATATGCATGAATATAACGCAATTTGACGCCAAAAACAGATTATCAACCTAATTCATAGTCCGGATGTTGATAAATTATAATATAACAATGATAAAAGTAGGCTATCTTTAGACTAAAGTAAAGGTAAGGCCAATATATTATCTTATCTAAAAATATGGAATAACTGGACCTCATCTATATTCGCATTTTAAATTTATCTAATTTGCGTTGATTTTAGATGCTGTCGATACTTCATCTTCTTCAAGTACTAAGAAAAACAAAAAACATTCGTTGACACATGAAAACCCAATAGGTTCGTATTTTAATTCGTATTTGCTAATTGTAAACTTGACAAAAGAGTAGCTCCATGACGTGGGCGGTAAGCTCTTTCGGCTGTTATCGTAGAAGTTTAACAACTTTCGCAGTGGTCGGTCATTGAATGGGTGACCGAAAATCTTCTATGTCGAGTTCCTCCGTGCTTCGGAAGGCACGTTAAGCCGTTAGTCCCCGCTGCATCTGCAATCGTAGGCACCTGCCAATCCGCATTGGGCCCGCGTGGTGGGTCATGGCCCAATCTCCCTATTCTTTCTTAGGGAAGGCCTGTGCCTCAGCAGTGGGGACATTAATATGCTGATGATGATGATGATGAAACTTGTCAATAGTCCCTCCTTTGCATTCCGTATTATAAGAACAATCGGCTGTCAAAATGACAAATATTAAAGAGCCGTGTGAAGTGCCTGCATAATGCTGGCACTGCACATGGCTATTCTTATTAACTATTAGTAAATTTGACAGCAGTCTCGCCTTTTCATTTCCTAAGGCCTCCTTTACACGTCGACGGATTCGTCCTCGGATGTATCACCAGATGGATCACCACAAGCCATCCACATCTATGATGACGTCTGTAGGTCATTCAATCTGTGTTAATTCTCGACAGACGCAACACGCACGCACGTTAAATTATATTATTACTAGTTGTGCCCCGTGGTTTAATAGGGCTATTTTCCCGATGTAAAACTTAGCCTATATGTTAATCCAGGGTGACAGCTACTTCCATACCAAATTTTATAAAAATCGCTCCAACTATTTAGACGTGAACAAGTAACAAACATACATACTAACAAACTTTCTCCTTTATAATATTACTGTTATTATCGCAGTAGAGTTATTAAAAAGAAATAGAAAAGAAAAAGGTGGTGGACGATGGCTTATTTTCGAATTCCGAAGCACTTTTCTGCTTGTAAGGAATATTAGCCATTTCGGCAAACGAGAGAGAAACATTCGCAAATTTGATACTACTAATACGTCGTGAGACGCGTGGACAGACGCAGGGCGTTCGCGCTGAAACTCTTTGTTGCGTGCTACAAAAACCGTCTACAAACTGATTAGTGGCAGACGCATCTGCCGACGTTAAATACCTACCAGAGACAAGCAAACTACCCCGTCTACACGTTGTCGGACGCATCCGAAGATGGCATCTGTAGATGGATCCGTCGACGTGTAGAGAAGGCATAAAGAGAATGGTAAGGATATACTGCTGCCAAATGTACAAACAACCGAAAAGCAGTCATGTTATAATATTATGTTTTCCAATAACAGATTTTCAGTCTAATGCATAAGCAGGATAGTAATAACTTTGTAGTATATCTGAATTAGATATCATTTTACAACACAAACTCTATGTATTATTTAATTTCACACTTAGATGTTACTGCAGCGGAGATGTCTCCCGGTAGTCATGGCAAAAAGAAGAAAAACCTTTCTGAATCACAGCTTAAAGAAACAGGTAAATTCAATAATATATCTAGATTAGAAATGCTATTCTCCACCACAGAAATTAGCTACAAAGCCATTATTAATATTAACAAGTTCATGTCTGGTCCTTCATGCTGAATCCATTATATTGTTTATATCATTTGACCTTTCTGTATCCATATGTGAGTAACATTCCTAAATACATTTTCATGAAACATCTGTTGAATCTAGTAACGCATGAACTTTCTTCATCACAAGGACAGTGCGACAAGGATCTGAATGAATGTGAGTGACAGTTCAGGGAGGGCGCCACTGGTGTCGATTCTGGCATGATTCTCTAAACCTAAACTTAAATTTGACAACAGTGTATCCTTGTCATTCTCTATACAGAATGAAAAGGAGAGACTGATGTTAAATTTAGTTTTAAGTTTAGAGAATCACGCCAGAATCGACACCACTATCTACGTAAATGACCGTGAATGACATACAAAATATGACGTTTACCAAGACGACGGTGTTAGTTTAAATTTTCGCCACATTCATAAATATCCTTGTCGCACTTTTCTGTTTTTCTTCCAAGCTTTTTAAGAATAAGTGAAATACTTAGAAAAGTTGTTATACGTAAAATAGTATTGACTTCTTATTTTATTTTCAGAACCAAACGCCGCAACCATATGCCCCGCTATTCGTGACAGTGTTAAAAAGAAGAAAAAACATTCCGAATCGCAGCTTGAACATTCAGGTAAATTCAAAATATATCTTGACTAGAAATACCGTAGTCCATAAAATTAAGAAAAGACATAATCCAGCAAAGCAAGTACCTTCATTTTTGTATCAATGATCTTTCGATTTAGATCCACTTAAACTCCTTATCAGTTACCTTGGTGACTTTACCAAAGGGCATTGGGAACTTTAGAATGGAATAATATCCTACAGCAGACAGAAATGAATTCTATATTATTTTAAAGCTTAAGACCTCTAGATATGTTGAACTTGAGTGCATTTTTGTGACCCCACAGGAATATTGAGATATAAAAAGAACAACATACACTTATATTGTGTTGAAAACAAACAATTCTGGGAACCATTTTTATTTTTCTGTATCCTCCTAGGCAAGGGAAAGTTCGTGTGAAGTCCTCATGTATACCCTACAACTTGCTGCAGGGTTATGTCAGACACTTTCTGACTAAAATAAATCCCAGGGGGAACGCCTTTGTCCACAAGGACCTTACAGGCTTTGCTGATAAAAAAACCTCATTTACTCAGCGTTCCCATAGGTTACAGAAATAAAAATTGCACAGGGATAAAGTATCTACTTGATCCTTAAAATGTATATGTGGATGGATATTTTTAACTTTTTATATGTAGGTTTAACTTATGTAACAAATATGTCATACCTATTGAATACAAGAAATGCATGAACATAACGCACTTTGACACCAAAAACAGATTATCAACCTAATTCATAGTCCGGATGCTAATAAATTAATATAAGAATGTAAAAGTAGGCTATCTTTTGACCAAAGAAAAGGTAAGGCCAATATATTATCTTATCTAAAAATATGGAATAGCTGGACCTCATCTATATTCGCATTTTAAGTTAATCTAATTTGCATTGATTTTAGATGCTCTCGATACTTCATCTTCTTCAAGTACTAAGAAAAAGAAAAAACATTCGTTGACACATGAAAACCCAATAGGTTCGTATTTTAATTCGTATTTGCTATTTGTAAACTTGACAAAAGAGGAGCTCGATGGCGCGGGCGGTAAGCGCTTTCGGCTGTTATCGTAGAAGTTAACCAACTGTCGCAGTGGTCGGTCATTGAATGGGTGACCAAAAATCTTCTATGTTGAGTTCCTCCGTGCTTCGGAAGGCACGTTAAACAGTTGGTCCCGGCTGTATCTGCAAACGTTAGCACCTGCCAATCCGCATTGGGCCCGCGTGGTGGGTCATGGCCCAATCTCCCTATTCCATCCATGGGGAAGACTTGTGCCTCAGCAGTGGGGACATTAAAAGCCTGATGATGATTATGAAACTTGACAATAGTCCCTCCTTTGCATTCCGTATAATAAGAACAATCGGCTGTCAAAATGACAAATATTAAAGAACCGTGTGAAGTGCCTGCATAATGCTGGCACTGCACATGGCTATTCTTATTAACTATTATAGTAAATTTGATAGCAGTCTCGCCTTTTCATTTCCTAATGCCTCCTATACACGTCGACGGATTCGTCCGCGGATGTCGACAAATGCATCACCAGATCAAAAAAAAAATCAAAAAAGTTTATTACGATACCACATTTGTTTTACATCAAACCAGGGTGGGTTCCTTCTATTAAGTGTTTAACACCTGTACCAGAAGGAACCACTCTTCCATAGCATCATTAATATATCTTATGGTAAGGTCTTTTCATTGGATTTTTAATACATTGTAAAAGAAAAAATAAAAAATATAGAAATTACAATTTATATAAACGGTTGAGTGTGTGTCTGTATGCGTGTGTATGTGTGTGTGCGTGTTTCTGTGTGTGCATGTGCGTGAGTGTGACGAGTGTACGTGAGTATGTGTGTACAAATGCTCTTTTTATCCGCTAGCAAGTAAGATTAAGAAGGCTCTCAGTGTCATCATAATCCAAGGTCTTGAGCCCATGCCATCATTTTGAGCTTGCACTCCCGGTAAGTTAGAGAATAAATATTTAAAATTTTGTTAATATGGTTATAGATGATGGAAGAGATGTGGAGGTACTGATTGCGAGCAAAACTTGTGTTAGAGCACTGAACTAATGCTACTATGTCTCTTTTTCTTTTTTCTACGATACTAGGATTGTACGACAGTGTTGTGTGCTTCCGTAATACAGCATGTAGAATGTATAGCTTTCTAACAGTTAGTAAATCTGACATAGAGTAAAGCAGCTCAGTTGGGAAGTCGCGTTTTTTTAAATAAATAACTTTGATCAGAGCTCTTTGAGCTCTTTCAACCTCTAAAAATTTAGTTTTCAGCGCTCCACCCCAAACCCTTATGCAGTAAATCAAGACTGATTGCGCCAGCGCAACATATATCTGGTTCAGCATATCCTTAGTGGCTACATATCGCAGTGTTTTAAAGACCCATATCAGCTTCCGCATTCTAGATCCAACCAGGTCAATATGAGAGTACCAAGATAGTCTCTGAACGAGCATAATCCCAAGGTATTTAACATTTTTTACCTTAGTCATGGATGGACAGCTGCAATCCTGACACATACTACGAATGCAGGAGCCAGAGTGGATCTTAATATCATAACCAGCTGTCGGCTGTGTCCTATCTTGGATAGAGAAGCACATGTAATTTGTTTTTTTTTTATATTTAGGGTAAGCAGATTAGCCACTAGCCACTCGGAAATCATAGTCAGTCCAAGTTCGGTCCTATGCTTAACAATATCCCAGTTCTCTCCCGAAAAACCCGAAACCAGATGGATCACCACAAGCCATCCACACCTATGATGACGTCTGTAGGTCATTCAATCTGTGTTAATTCTCGACAGACGCAACACGCACGCACTTTAAATTATATTATTACTAGTTGTGCCCCGTAGTGTTACCCGCGGCTTAATAGGGCTATTTTCCCGCAGTAAAACTTAGCCTATGTGTTAATCCAGGGTGACAGCTACCTCCATACCAAACTTTATAAAAATCGCTCCTACTGTTTAGACGTGAACAAGTAACAAACATACACACTCACAAACTTTCGCCTTTATAATATTACTGTTAATATCGCGGTAGAGTTATTAAACAGAAATGGAAAAGAAGAAGGTTTTCTGCTTGAAAGGAATATTAGCCATTTCGGCGAACGAGAGTAAGAAACATTCGCAAATCGATACTACTAATGCGTCGTGATACGCGTGGACAGACGCAGGGCGTTCGCGCTGAAACTCTTTGTTGCGTGCTACAAAAACCGTCTACAAACGGATTGGTGGCAGACGCATCTGCCGACTTTAAATACCTACCAGAGACAAGCAAACTACGCCGTCTACATGTTGTCGGACGCATCCGAAGATGGCATCTGTATATAGATCCATCGACGTGTAGAGAAGGCATAAAGAGAATGATAAGGATATACTGCTGCCAAATGTACAAACAACCGAAAAGCAGTCATGTAATATTAAATAGTTTTCCAAAAACAGATTTTCAACCTAATGCATAATCAGGATACTAATAACTTTATAGTATATCTGAATTAGATATAATTTCACAACACAAACTCTATGTATTAATTAAATTTAATTTCACACTTAGATGTTACTGCAGCGGAGACGTCTCCCGGTAGTCATGGCAAAAAGAAGAAAAACATTTCTGAATCACAGCTTGAAGAAACAGGTAAATTCAATAATATATCTAGATAAGAAATGCTATATTCCACCTCAAAAATTAGCTACAAAACCATTATTAATATTAACAAGTTCATGTCTGGTCCTTCATGCTAGATCCACTTATATTGTTTATATCATTTGACCTTTCTGTATCCATATGTGAGTAACATTTCTAAATACATTTTCATGAAACATCTGTTGAATCTAGTAACGCATGAACTTTCCTCATCACAAGTACAGTGCGACAAGGATCTGTATGAATGTGAGTGACAGTTCAGGGAGGGCGCCACTATCTACGTAAATGACCACAGAACACAGAAAGAGGTTAAAATGGCCTTGTGGGCGGGGCAGGCGCGTCGCAGTTATGAGCAAATGCTCATAACTTAACGTCCGATCGCGTCGTTAGTTGCTCGCGAACGCACAGCGAGAGAGTATTGTTATTGCCGCTTAAAATATGCCTTCGTGTGCCGTAATTACTTGCAAAGTAAGGAGTCAATCATCAAATCTACCTAAAGCAGGAATTTCTTTTCATCGGTAAGTATAAAACTTATTAGTTAGACTGATATTTTAGCAAAAATCGAGAAATATTAATTAAACGATAAATCACATATATATTTCCACAAAAATATTCATTGCTAACAAAGTACGCTCGCTATTTTTTCTACGACATTCAAAACACGAAATGTAGTACGGTCAAGCAAGAATGACGCGTGGATCACAGAGCGCTGCAAGTGGCCGCACGCAGTATACATTGCACCTACTTTAGTGATGTCTTGCGTCGTACATTTTACATTTTCGATAGATTTTATTGACTGAATTTTAGCACCTAATAATGGAATTAAAGGAACTTTTAGAAATAAATAAAAGCTGATTGTAAATGTTTATCATACTTAATATTATAAAGACGTTTCTGTGTTTGTTACTTCTTCACGTCTAAACGGCTGGAGCGATTTTAATAAAATTTGGTATGGAGTTAGCTGACACCCTGGATTAATACATGGGCTACGTTTTACTGCGGGTAAATATCCCTAATAAACCGCAGGTAACACCGCAGGGCACAGCTATTACAATATAAATATAAAGCTGATGAGTTTGTTTATAGTCCAGTCAAAATAGACATTTGACTTAGGAATAATTCGCATAGAGCTAAAAATTGGCAGAGACGTTAAATACATCATTATAAATAAAATGTCAAAACTCCCCTTTCGAACGTACTTTTGCAAAAAAAAATCAACTAAAACGTACAAAATTATGGTTTTTTCCATTTTTCTTGAAAACGGTAAGTTTTGTCGTGAAAATAGGCCAGACAAAAGTTGTAGACCATACAATTCTCTACAAAAATGGTCTAGTCACTTTTTCTCTTACGACTCACCATTCTTGAGATATCGTGGTTTTTAATAATTAGAAAATTCATTTTTTACATAATATGCACACATTTCTGCACCACCTATAAGGTAATGTACTTGGCGGATTTTTTCAAAGTGGTTTCCCCAGTAGGTATACTCCACGATGTATTGTAATAAAGAAAGTTTGATCAGATCGTATCCTATTGATAGATATAATGGTTATATTGCTAATGATCAAAGTGGAATAGGTTGATTTTTCTTAATGTTATTATATTACATATTTGTCTAATTCTTCTCCGACAATTATTTCTTCGTCTTCATTTTCTTCTTGTTGCAGAATTTCTATTCACTGTTCTAAGAAAAGGGATGCAACAATAGGGATGATGACTAAATTTTTTTTCTTCGTTTATCAGGTAGATTATCAAAAAGTATTGGACACGTATTTTTTCTTTTTTCACATAATATAAACATTGCAGAGATATATTGATTTGAAAAGTGGCATGACGTCACGTTTGAGTACACTTATAAGTGAAAATTCACTCAAAAGTGACGTCACGAGCCCCTACTCCCAAACTTTGACACGCTATAACTTTGTCATTTTTTGGTTGATTGCCCAAAGAAAAAATATGTGTCCATTATTTTTTGATCATCTAACTGACGGACTAAATAGAATTTCGTTTACTGTACCCCGTCATCACCCCTATTGTCTCTTCATTAATATCATAAATATTTTCATTTCATCTGTTGTATTTTTTCAATACTGGAGCAAGGCTGACCCTGACAATTGATGCATACTAGCGAAAAAAATAATCCCACTTTATGACAGCAATAATTCTTACTACAATCCGTCTTGCATTTACAAAAAATAGGATTAAGCAGTTTTGCTGCAGCAGGCGGGAGTTCGAATTGGCTCCAAATAATTATCTGTTAATTTCCAACCCCATCCTTCTGGTTCCAGCTCATTGCCTAGCCACATTTGAACTTGATAATACACACGGTACAAGTGTTGAAAGGCAGAAGCAGATGTTGGAGGCAGACAATACCACTGTACTGTTTTATTGTTCCATGCAAATTTATATCCTATAGTAGGCCTCAGAAAGATATTAAAACAATTAAGTTTGACCTTGATTTTTTTTGCAGAAGTAGGATCGAAGGGGATTATAGACATTTTATTTAAAATGATGTATTTAACGTCTCTGCCAATTTTCAACTCTATGCGAATTATCTCTAAGTTATGACTTGTTTTCGTCTATTTTGACTAGACTATAGAGAGAATTAACTTGTCGAGAAGTTAAAACAAACACTGGTGGACTTACAAGCTTCTCGTGACTTATGTGATAAACTTATGCAAGAACGGGAGGACAGTGAACATGAAATTGTTAGCATATTGGAAAAAAACAAGCAATTGAAGTGCGACCTATCTAAGTTGCACATTAAATATGACGATGTTGTTGAGCAGTGTAATCACATGCAGAACACTATAAAATCCTTTACAGAATGTACAAATACTCACGAACATGCACTTAATAAAATTAATGAGTTAGAAGTCAGCTTGTGCCTTGCAAATAATAATGTAAAACAGTTGGAAATGCAAAGTAAAGGTTTTTCTACAGGGAAACACTCTCAAAGCTTGTTTGATGAACTGAATGTTTGTAGTCCCGGCTTCATCAAGGAACAATCGTATACAGAAAAAAGTTATGACACTATTGACTCAAAAACTTATTTTTGCAGTGCAAATAAACTTAAAAAATATATTCGTATTAAGAAATTTATAAATAAGACAAAAAGAATTATAAAGCAACATAAGTCTTATAAAAAACATAAGTTGCAATATGTGAAAAATATAAAATTGACAGAAAAATTAAACAATATTAAGAATAAGGCTATTACGGAAACTAGTGATTACATAGGATATAGTAAGCAATTAGAGTCCAAAATTGACAGGCTCGAAGAGTCATTAAAAAATATGTTAAAAAACATACAGACCCTTTCACAGAAACAATTAAATTATCAAATACTTGCTTCAAATGACATGGAAGATATGTGTAATTATAATGCAGACAGATTTGAATCTTTGAATAATAAGCGAATGTGTACATGTCTCATTCAGGACGTTCAGAATAAGGAAAAACTTACTTTCAATTCATTACATAATCAACAAGTGTCACTAGTTGAAGTTGATCCAGAAATATTATCACTCACAAATGATAACATTTGTTCACACACTAATCTTGATGAAGGTGGGACACAAACACAAACAATAAATAATTCAATAATAAAGAAACATCAAAACAATGTAATGATGTTTAGTGATGAGATAGGCAAAAACATGGGTCATACAATGAGTCATTACATGTCCCAAAACATAACTAATTTCTGTATGCCAGGCGCTGATTACAATCAAATATTACAGAAGGTGACATGTGGTAATTACAACCCTAATACCACAATAATTATTTTTGTTGGTAGAAGAGGTAATGCGAATTCCAATGTTATGGAAAAATATTTTGAATGTCTCTCTAAACTAAATGTAAAGAAAATAATTATGTTTACTCTGCCTTACAGCAACTCACTGAGTAAGAAAGAAAACGACTATAGATATAAATGCAATGTAAAATTGCATGTAATGACTAACTATGATTTAAAGTTTGACATAATTGATTTTAATGGTTTTATTAAAAAACTATATATGAGTAAAGATATATACTTTCTTTGTAATTATTACAAAAAACAAATAGCAAAAACGCTTTGTTATTTTATTATAAAACAAGCCAATTCATTGGCTATAACTTCTGCCTCTATTGGGCAGTCAAAATGGACCATAAGCAATGCCAATTTGGAACATCCCTCAAATTCTTTAAATTAAATTTTGAGACAAAAGAGACTTACTCTGGCAATATTAACTGTAATGAAAAATTTGATTCGAATTTTGAGGCTTCAGATATTTTACCATTCCCACTTGCAGTAAATAAAAATTGTAAATATAATGTTATCAACCTTGTCCATCAAAATATTCAAGGTATGTCAGGCAAAGAGTTAGAATTGGAGCTATTTATGAATTATAATAATATCGATATAATGTGTGTTACAGAACACTGGCTAAAGAGCCATCAGCTTATTTTTAATTTTAGTAACCACCATGTTTCTAGCTCGTTCAGCAGAAAAAAGATATTGCATGGTGGTTCATTAATAATTACCAAGAAGAATTTTAGATGTAAGGAAAGAAATGACCTCGTATGTCTGTCTGTTGAACGAGTTACTGAAATAGCATGTATAGAGTGTGAAAAATTCATTGTTGTTAGTGTATATAAACCTCCTTGTGCCCCATTTGAACATTTTTTGAAAATTATGGAGGATGTTCTATTTAAAATTAGTAAAAGCCGAAAAATAATTGTTATCTGTGGAGACTTTAATATTAACATACTAGACTCATGTTCAACAACCTGTAACTTTTTAAATTTATTCAAGTCTTATGACTTGGAAAATGTTTTTAATGAACCTACAAGAATTACCAAAACAAGTGCAACATGCATTGACAATATTTTCACAAACAAAAAACCCAGCCAAAAATCAATTATTAATATGTTGCACTCAGATCATTGTGGTCAATTAGTATCATTCCCTCGAAAAAAGGTTGAAGTTCAAAGAACGAGAATAAATTTTACCCCAATAAATAGAAATCGAATGGAAATGTTCAAAAATAGTTTGACTGAAAAGCTACCATGGTTGCCTTTTAACCATTGCCCAGATAAGCTATATAATTCCTTATTTGAAGTAATAAATTCTGAATTTTCAAATATTTTCACAACAAAAACTAAGACGATCAGTAATCGTCTAGGCTTTAGTTCATGGGCAACTCCAGGTATCTACAATAGCAGGAATAAGTTATATGATTTGTATAGCCAAAAGTCGTATAATTTTGATCCAATATTTCTTAACTATGTAAGAAATTACTCTAAAGTTTTCAAAAGAGCCTGTTCCACTGCTAAGTCAATTTATTTAAAGAATAAGATTAAAAATTCAACTAATAAAATTAAAGAAACTTGGAATATTATAAACAGTGAAACTGGTAGAAGTCAAGCTAACTGCCGTAATATTAACCTAAAAATTGATAATGTGAATGTCAAAGTTGATTCGGAAGTAGCGACGGAGTTCGAAAAGTTTTTCTCAGATGTTCCCCTACAGATTACTAAATCACTTCAGTCGTCTTCCACTTAAGCTGAACAGCTACTTAAACAATATGTATCGACATGCAATGATGATTTTGAATTTACAACTGTTAATTATAAAGATATTATCAAAACATTTAAAACTCTCGACTTAAAGAAATCTATGGATCTTTGGGGACTGTCTGTCAAAACAATCTCCAACATTATAACTGTTATTGCTCCTTATTTAGCTGTCGTGTTTAACAGTTGTATTAAATCTGGTGTATTTCCTGACTTGATGAAGCAAAGTAAAATTATACCGTTATTTAAATCTGGTGAAACCTCAGATCCAACCAATTTTCGACCGGTTTCTATTCTACCAACTTTAAGTAAGATCTTTGAGAGACTAATACTCAATCAACTCTTGAAGCATTTCAATAAACATAACTTATTTCATAAGAAACAATTTGGGTTTACTCGGGGTCGATCCACCATTGATGCGGGAGTTGAATTGTTGAAGGAGGTTTTTTCTGCTTGGGAAGAATCACGAGATGCTCTTGGTATTTTCTGTGATCTATCTAAAGCATTTGATTGTGTTAACCATGATACCCTCGTCAGGAAATTACGGCATTAGGAACAAGGCTCTCGACCTTATGACTTCATACTTGTCCAATAGAATACAGAAGGTTGACATAAATGGTAAAAGATCTCCAGGATCTTTAGTCACAATAGGTGTTCCGCAGGGCTCGATTCTCGGTCCATTTCTCTTTCTAGTGTACATAAATGACTTGCCTTACTACATAAAAGACAATCATGATATTGTGTTGTTTGCGGATGACACCTCATTGATCTTCAAAATAAATAGACAATTAAATGATTTTGACGAAGTGAACAATGCACTTGCAAAAGTAGTTTATTGGTTTAATATTAACAACTTGTTGCTTAATGAGAAAAAAACCAAGTTAGTTAAATTTTCTACTACCAAATGTCAGAAGTGTAGAAACTAATATATATATAAATGGAGTGGAATTGAAGCCTGTGGAAAGTACCACTTTCTTAGGAGTGACGCTAGATTCCAGATTGCAATGGGGTTTACATATTGCAAAAATATCGGGTAAACTTAGCTCTGCGGCGTACGCTGTTAAAACTATTAGACAACTTACTGACGTGAATACGGCTAGAATGGTTTATTTCAGTTATTTTCATAGCATTATGTCATATGGGATTCTTCTCTGGGGGAGTGCAGCAGATATTAATACCATCTTTGTACTGCAAAAACGGGCTATTAGAGCAATTTATCAACTACATCCGCGTGACTCCCTCAGAGAAAAGTTCAAGGAGATAAATATTCTAACTGTAGCATCACAATATATATTGGACAACTTACTATATGTAAAGAAAAATATTATACATTTTTGTGAAAAATGTGATACACATAATGTTAATACTAGGAAAAAACACGATTTGGTTGTACATAAGACTCGTCTCCACAGAATAAACAATTCCTTTGTGGGCCAATGTATACGTTTTTACAATAAGCTTCCAAATAATATGAGAGATTTGCCTATTAATAAATTTAAAACAACTTTAAAAGCTAAATTGTATTAAAAAGCTTATTATAAAATTAATGACTATTTGAATGATAAAAATGCGTGGGAGTAAAATCTGCCCAAAATTTACGCATCTAAAACTGTACTTTTAGTACTTTAATTATTATTTTTTGATGTAACTATTGACCTGTAATGATGTTGTAAGATCAGTACGAAATTGTAAGCTGTGGAGTTTCTTTCGCCGCTTCTTCTCCGATAAAGCAGCATAATAATTAGGTATTTAAGTGAAATAATTATTGCATCTCGAAACTGTGGTAGGGAGTTGACGATTTAAAAGTACTTACCAAAGTCCATTTAAATAAAGATATTTTGAGTTTGAGTTTGTCCACACAGTCAGTAGAAAGAGCATGTAAAGAGAAGAATGAAAACGAAGAGGATGAAGATTTACTGAGATTAAGATTTTACTGATTTCAGTTCACAAGTCATTACCTACATATCAGGCAATGTGGTTCATGTCCTAATTAAAAAAATCAAATGCAATATTTGCCCTGGAGCCCTAATATCAGATTCAAGTAATAATTAACATAAATTTATTTCGTTAAAAGATAAAGGTGGCCTGATATATCCGTCCGTGATGTTATAAAAATATGCAAAAGTGCAGAAACTGTAATACGAACAACATGCAAATAATTTGAAAAATTTCAAAAAAAAAATTTTAGTTTCAAAAAGAGTTTATTGACACTTCATAATTTGATGACATATCATTTCATCAAGTTGGTGAATTCCCATTATCTAACCACGTAACAGATTCAATTAAAGTGGTAATTGAAAAATATATAGATATACGTCTATATTTTTTTTGAAAAATAATTTTAAAAAAGGAAAATGGTCACCTTTTTCATAAATATATATTGTTTCAAGGTCAATAAATTACTATATGTAGTAATGCGTTTTACATTAAATCATTTTCTTTATCTTTACTGACTTTGACAGGATACATAAAATTCCATACAATCAAGTCAAGTCCAACTCGTACTTCGCATATTTAATATCGATAATATTTCATCGACTCAGTGTCAACCACAAACGCTAAAATCGGTGTGAACGAATGAAGCGCTGATTCGTTCGGTTGCCTGATGTCGCGTCGTTTGATTGGCTTATTATCTATTAGGTGGAAGTGTAGTGGGGGCGAGCCGGCGACATCGGTTCTCATACTGGCGATCGCTTATCACCCTTCTAACCTCTTTCTGTGTTCTGTGTAAATGACCGTGAATGACATACAAAATATGACGTTTACAAAGACGACGGTGTTAGTTTCAATTTTCGCCACATTCATAAAGATCCTTGTCGCACCTTTCTGTTTTTCTTCCAAGCTTTTTAAGATTAAGTGAAATTTAGAAAAGTTGTTATACGTAAAATAGTAATCAATTCTTATTTTATTTTCAGAACCAAACGCCGCAACCATATCCCCCGGTATTTGTGACAGTGTTAAAAAGAAGAAAAAACATTCCGAATCGCAGCTTGAACATTCAGGTAAATTCAACAATATATCTTGATTAGAAATACCGTAGTCCATAAAGTTAAGAAGAGATATAATCCAGCAAAGCAAGTACCTTCATTTCTGTATCAATGTTCATTCGATTAAGAGCCACTTGGACCACTTATCAGTTAACTTTGATGACTTTACCAAAGGGCATTGGGAACTTTAGTATGGAAGAATATCCCACAGCAGACAGAAATGAATTCTATATTATTTTAAAGCTAAAGACCTCTAGATATGTTGACCTTGAGTGCATTTTTGTGATCCACAGGAATATTGAGATATAAAGAGAACAACATACACTTATATTGTGTGTTGAAAACAAACAATTCTGGAAACCATTATTATTTTTCTGTATCCTCCTAGGCAAGGAGAAGCGCGTGTGAAGTCCTCATATATACTGTACAGCTTGCTGCTGCAGGGTTATGTCAGACACTTTCTTACTAAAACATACTTCGGGGGGGACTTTGTCCATAAGGACCTTACAGGCTTTGCTGATACAAAAACCTCATTTTCTCAGCGTTCCCATAGGTTACAGAAATAAAAATTGCACAGGGATTAGGGAGGTATCTACTTTATCCCTGTCGTTCGTGTTGTTGTTTAAACCTATTTCGATGGATAGATACAATTATCTAATTTCATCTATAAACTGAAATAGGTTTTGTTTGGGTCCGCTACTTTTCGATAAGCAGGGCAAAATGTTCCCAATGTCTTTTGTCAATCGGTCTTTCTAATCGGATCCGATCTATGAAGCAAGTTTACAGATCCTTCCAATATATAGATGGATGGATATTTTTAACCTTTTATACGTAGGTTTAACTTATATTACAAATATGTCATACCTATTGAATAAAAGAAATGCATGAACATAACGCACTTTGACACCAAAAACAGATTATCAACCTAATTCATAGTCCGGATGCTAACAAATTAATATAAGAATGTAAAAGTAGGCTATCTTTTGACCAAAGGAAAGGTAAGGCCAATATATTATCTTATCTAAAAATATGGAATAGCTGGACCTCATCTATATTCGCATTTTAAGTTCATCTAATTTGCATTGATTTTAGATGCTCTCGATACTTCATCTTCTTCAAGTACTAAGAAAAAGAAAAAACATTCCTTGACACATGAAAACCCAATAGGTTCGTATTTTAATTCGTATTTGCTATTTGTAAACTTGACTAAAGAGGAGCTCGATGGCGCGGGCGGTAAGCGCTTTCGGCTGTTATCGTAGAAGTTAACCAACTGTCGCAGTGGTCGGTCATTGTTCATGGGTGACCAAAAATCTTCTATGTCGAGTTCCTCCGTGCTGCGTTAACGAAGGCTCGTTAAGCCGTTGCTCCCGGCTGCATCTGCAATCGTTAGCACCTGCCAATCCGCATTGGGCCCGCGTGGTGGGTCTTGGCCCAATCTCCCTATTCCATCCATAGGGAAGGCCTGTGCCCCAGCAGTGGGGACATTAATAGACTGCACGTTAAATTATATATTATTACTAGTTGTGCCCCGCGGTGTTACCCGCGTTTTAATAGGGCTACTTTCCCGCAGTAAAACTTAGCGTATGTGTTAATCCAGGGTGACAGCTACCTCCATACCAAATTTTATAAAAATCGCTCCAACTGTTTAGACGTGAATAAGTTTCTTAAACTTTCGCCTTTATAATATTACTGTTATTATCGCAGTAGAGTTATTAAAAAGAAATGGAAAAGAAGAAGGTGGTGGATGATGGCTTTTTTTCAAATTCCGAAGCAGTTTTCTTCTCGAAAGGAATATTGGCCATTTCGGCGAACGAGAGTAAGAAACATTCGCAAATTCGATACTACTAATTCGTCGTGATACGCGTGGACAGACGCTGGGCGTTCGCGCTGAAACTCTTTGTTGCGTGCTACAAAAACCGATGACAAACGGATTAGTGGCAGACGCATCTGCCGACATTAAATACCTACCAGAGACAAGCAAACTACCCCGTCTACACGTCGACGGACGCATCCGAAGATGGCATCTGTATATGGATCCGTCGACGTGTAGAGAAGGCATAAAGAGAATGATAAGGATATACTGCTGCCAAATGTACAACAACAACAGCCGAAAAGCAGTCATGTAATAATATAATGTTGCCCAAAAACAGATTATCAACCTAATGCATAATCAGGATACTAATAACTTTATAGTATATCTGAATTAGATATAATTTTACACAAACTCTATGTATTCATTAATTTTAATTTCACACTTAGATGTTACTGCAGCGGAGACGTCTCTTGGTAGTCATGGCAAAAAGAAGAAAAACCTTTCTGAATCACAGCTTGAAGAAACAGGTAAATTCAATAATATATCTAGATTAGAAATGCTATTCTCCACCACAGGAATTAGCAACAAAACCATTATTAATATTAACAAGTTCATGTCTGGTCCTTCATGCTGGATCCACTAATATAGGTTAGCACTTAGAAGTAACTAATTAAAGAGCACTTCCAATTAAAATAAAAAACGATAACAGTACTATAAAAAGTCACATAAACCAGAGACAATTTGGAAAAGTTCATTTACCACACACTGTGGTTACCTTTTAAGATTCTTCATGAAATAATCGAATATAATCATTTACAAAAGTGTAATTTTATATTATTTCAGATTTTCAAGTCTACTCAAACTTGGACCAGATTACAAAATATCCCAAGAAACAAAAACAGCAGAAAACTCTAAACTTGTCGTCACAAACTTCTGCTGATGGTAAGAAATTGCCTTTTAAAGAAACTGGAACCCATAGTATATTTTTTGTAAGAAATGATATATATTTTATGTTATTAAAATATATATATTTATTCCAGAGATACCCATGGAAGTTATATCAAATACAAAAAAAAGGAAGAGGAAGTCTTCATCAAATAACGATGGCGAAAATATTATAAACAGAGGTTAGAAATTTTAATATTTTTTCACTTGAAGGAAGTGAAGTTTTCGTTTCCATTAAGGACTCTTTACTGTGACACTTTCACACATTTCAAAGTTGCTCACTTATTACATAGGTTTAAGTGTATTTTCGTTTGCTTTCTTTTTTATGTTTGATGTAATCCTATATTAGAACCAGCACAATTTGTTTTCGAAAATATATTCTCTTCGGAGTATCAGTGATGCTACAGTTAGTGACTGGCTAAAATATGAAATAACAACTTAATAAGTTAACACAGCATACTTAATCTGATGACGTAACAAGTAAAATTTGAAAAGCAAACGTTTAGTGAAGAAATTTCACACACCAATCAGACGCAAAAACTGCACACAAAAAATATAATTATTTAAATCGTCAGGATTGTTGCAAACAGATATCCTTTGTTTTTCTTGTTCACAAAGAAAACTGTTTACTATAATATGGTTGTATGTAATATCTTTTGAGCCTATTGTAACCACTTTTTCCATTGTAATTACTAGAGAGTGGAGAAATTGCAGTTGTTTCGGAAACGTTGGATGTTTCGTTATCTGCTGGCAGAGAGAAGAAAAAAAGAAAAATATCCCAAACCAAAGGTGTGTATCTGACAAAGTATCCAAAAGATAAATGATAGCTTTCAAATATATTAAAATAAAAAGAAAGAAAACGAAAAAATGTATAGCCTTCATTAACATAAAGTGTATAGAAATGTTTACAATATCAACTTCTTCAAATCTTATTTTAATTCAGAGTGTGATGAAATAGCGGTTGTACCGGAAACGTTAGATGCTTCATTATCTGCTGGAAGAGAGAAGAAAAAAAGAAAAACATCCCAAAATGATACAACTGGGCAATCTAATGGTGTGTAATTTTAAAAAGTCCAACTTATAAAGGTAGACTATAATAGTAGATAATAGCTTTAATATCATCATAGCATCAAAAACAAATGAGATTATTAATATCATAAAGTACATATAAAGATAGAAGAAAGATAGTGATATATATTCTTATTCAAAATTGTTGTTTTGTTAGTTCTTAACAAAATAATAATTTTATGAAAATTGTTTCAGATAAAGCAGACTTCATTTGCGAACAGAATAAAAAGCCAGGTGACAATAACAAGCAAGGTAGTCTGGACGCGCCATCTAATAAGGGTAAATAAGAATAACTTACTGTCATTCATCTATCAGCTTTCTATTTGTGAAGCCGAATGTACATTAGTGGCATGAAAGTAGTTCTGTGGCATTATTTTCATCAACTGGAGGATCTCGAAGGCGCATGTGGTTAGCGCGTTTGGCTGCGATCGTTGAAGTTAAGCAAGTTTCGCAGTGGTCGGTCATTGGATAGGTGACCAAAAATTTACTATCTCGAGCTCCTCCGTGCTTAGGAAGGCCAGTTAAGCAGTTGGTCCGGGCTGCATCTGCAGTCTTTAGCACCCACCAATCCGCACTGGGCCCGCGTGTTGGGTCATGGCCCAATCTCCCAATTCCATACATAGAGAAGGCTTGTGCCCCAACAGTGGGGACATTAATAGACTGATTATGATGTTACGGTGTACGGCAACAACACGAACATTGTAAAATGTGACGTTTACGCGTGGAATTGTTGGTGAAATTGATGTCATGGAACGGAAGCCGAATTTTCTTTACGAAAGTAGTTGCATGATAGTAAATGCAACTAATTTCGTAATTTAAATTCGGCTTTATTTAATCTCTATGGACTTACACTTTATTACACTTTTCAGAAGGAGGACATGGAAAGAAAAATAAAAAAAGGAAACGACATGACGACGATAATAATAGCAAAGCCGCAAAGGTTAGTTTTTTATTATTTTAATGAAATAAATAACGTTATTCTTTATCAGATTCTTGATTTCATACTATTGCTCCGTCGCCTGTGTACAAGTAATATTTCACCTACTACGTAATAATGAATTATGATAGGGCACAACTTTAAGGTAGCTTTGTATTTTTAGGAAGCTAAAATTATTCCTATTTATTTGGAAAATAATATTTATTGCCCTCCAGGCAAATTATCCCAGATCGTACTATCACCGTCATACAGATGCTCGTCCATTTACACAGACAGACGTACGTTATTGCGACTAAACGTATAAATCCTATTCGATTGCTAGTGAAGTTTTTCCACAAATTTTAAACGTTTTTCATGGAAAAAATATTAATATGATTTGTTTAACCCTAACCCCATCCTCTCTGTGGAGCTCTTAAAACCATACACAACATTTATGATAGTTTTACATATTTTACTGTAAGGTGGAAATAACTCCAATTCGAAGGGGAAACTGCAAACCGCAAAGTAAGTTTGGAGATATTTAATGCATGTTTTATTGTTTCAGAAATTGAAAGAAAAATCCTTTGATACAGTCCATGTACCCAGGCTTCCTCCTTCCATTCTCAGTCAGTTGGATGATAAACCGAATAAAACAATTCTGGATTTGAAAAAGTCGAAAGTGATTTCAACAACATCATTTGTTGTAGAAACCAAGACACGTAAAAATAAGCCGTCGGTTTATTTAGAAGAGAGTGTGTATTTGAATGATTCAAATTCTGAAAAGAAGCCGAAAAAGTCGCTTAAGAAGCCGAAAGTTTTACCATTTGTGCCAACAGCTGCAACTTCTGAGTGTGGTTTTACCACAAAGTTTCAAATTAATGTCATACCACAGGAAGTACACTTCGTAGCCAAAAGCACGAATGTACCAAATTTTAGAAATGACTATCTCTATGGTAACAAGATTAAACGACTGGGCACTTACGAAATGTATAAAAAACGTAGGACAGCTAAATTATCAAAATTCTAGTGCAACATTTTTATACTGTTTACAATAAACACACAATGTTATTGCGTCAACTTAAATAGAGTTGTTACAGACTGAATTCATGTAAGTATGTAGTAAGAGAATCAATGTAAAATATCTTTTTTATTGGCTGTTTTTCAGTTTTGATAAATTTATTAACCGACTTTTAAAAAGGAGGAGGTTCTTAAATTCGTCTGGTTATTTTTTGTTAGATTTAGATCTAAGTATCGAGTTCAAGCTAGAATTAGTTCTAGCTTGAACTCGATACTTGTCAACAATATCTCCACTTAACTAAAGAGCATGTTAAGTTTATACTGCTATAAAAAAAATAGAAAATTCATGTTAGAATCAGCCCCAGTGCTTGATTTTTCTATCATAAATATTGACTCTGCTTATTTCTTTTATGTACTTTAATCTACTCACTTTGTAAGTTACCTTTAAGTAAATTTTTGTTCACCGGATAATGTAGAAAAAAAGAACGAAAGTTTTAGTTTTTCCAGGATACAGTGCTTTAAATAAATAAAGTGTCGATGTTAATGTTTCCTGATATGTTATAACTATGTAAGATATGTGAAGTTTGTTATGTTTTCTTCTTATTTGTTGTATTTATTTTGCAGTTGAATGTACGTAGACACTAAGTATTTGTTTATTTTCATGGCGTTAATTGATACTCGAGCTTGTGATGCCGGCACTTCACATGGCTATTCGTGTTTGCTATTTGTCATTTTGACAGAGGTTTGTCCATATCATACTCTATAAGGACTAAAAAGACTGTTGTCCAGTTTACAAATAAAAATTACTAATAGTAACGGGGAACCGCCAGCATGAAGCGTAAAAATTGTTTTAAGTCTATATCTTATAACTTGTGTGTGATGTAATTTATTTATTAAGGTGTCAGCAAGGGAAATCATCGATATTCATGACCGACGTACAAAACATATTCTTTTTATAATTTTATTTCAGTTGCAATAATTATATAAAAACTGTCACAAAAAAAGGCATGTTTTTGCCCATCTCTGGGGGCCAATCGCCTAACGGAAATGCTTTGGAAAACAATATTAAAAAAAAATGAGCGTGAGGCGAAAACCTCAGGCGGCTAGAAATAACAATATAAAATCGTAAGCGTTAGCGTTTCCCAAAGCATTTCCGTTAGGCGATTCGCCCCCAGATCTCTGTTGAATTGTATTTTAATGTATGTAAACTCTAATGATACATGTTATCATAATTTCGTAATGTTAAAACACAAAAATATAATGTAATTATTTTGTAGTATTTAGGGTACATGTTTGCCTGGATTCGAACAATGTCAAAATGTGTTGGATCAAGAGTTCACATTTCCCGCCATGTAGATATAATCTTCTGTAATTGCCACTAGATGTCACTGCTGTAGAAAAAAAATGGTATTACCCCTGTGCTACTTTGTTTAGTTTATTTGTAATTGATTGTCTACATTTTTATCATTTAATTTCAATAAAATTATTCTTCAATGCAAAAATATTATTTTGGAATCTGCACACTTAATTTATTATCCACACACTCGGCGAAAGTACTTCCCGCCTTATCATGCCGGTGTAAACAAACCGCCATGTTGCCAACAACGGTGCGATGGTATTTTACAATGGTAAGTATAATGTGTACGATATTATAGAATTTGCTACAAAAAATAATAATATTAAATTCTCTATCAATTTTTCAACTGATTTCCGATTTAAAGTATAGTTAAATTAACATAAAAGATTAAAAAAGACAATATCCTGACTGATGACGTGAATCCGTATTACAAAATCTACCAATAAGCATAAGTCGTGGCAAGTCACGTGGGTCATGTCAACCAATAGGAATGCACGACATTCTTTGTGTACCTTTTCGCATAATAGTAAAACAGATTGTGGGATTTTATGGAGTGAGTGGTGTTATATCTGTCAATTTTATGAAGATAAAAACGTAAATGTGTGAAATTGAGGATTTTTCTGTTGAGCATAAGGATATTTATACCCATAAATATTCGGTAAGTTTATGATTAATTCCTTTAGATTAGTTTCAGTGCCAATGTTGTGAAAACAAGACATACGAACAATGGGAAAGTCCAATGAGTTGCTGTGTCCCGCTCTTTTTAATGTCATTACTTATGTTTTATTGATAAATTAACACAAATGTATTTTATTCTGTATATTGCATGCAATTGTAAATCTTTCGATTTGATTATACTTTAAAAACAACCTATTTCTTGTTATCTTAGTAATAAAATGGCGGGAAATTCTCTTTAACGAAATGTTTGGATGTGCTTTAAAATGCTAAAACGAATAACGTGAATATGATCCGCTATCGGTATCAATCTAATAAAAATAGTAGAAATATATCTATTTTAATTATAACAATATATGTATTTTGATTATATACGTAGGTTAGGTAGATCTAACGGACATACTACAGTGTAGTGACCGTCCCGGCCGTAGGAAGTGACTATAGTGCTATCCTTTTCGCTCTTACAGGTTTTATTCACACATTCAACGGCAATGTTATAAACATTTTTCACGTAACTTATCAATTCCTATACAATATTTTTTGGTATTGGTTCATGAAATGAATAGTAATAAGTAACACTAATTTAATCCTTTACAATAAGACTCACGTTAACGAAAATATAGTTTTAAGTACTAATGGGTCTAGATAATGTAATCACTGCATTGATATGAAAATGGCGCCAATTCGCCGTCAATGAACTTACAAATCGTAATGAGCGAGCGAACGGAGACGTCGAAGTTTATCAAAGACTACTATCAAGTTGGTTACACATCTTAAATTTATGTATGTTCATTGAAATTTGAATCTGAGTACACCTTGTGTAGTTAGAATCTAACCACAAAATCATTGTGTGTTATTTATGAATAGTGTAATTAGTCAATGGTTATTTTAATATTTAAAATAACCATTGACTAATTACACTATATTGATTTCAATGTTAATAGTGACGCTATTAAGTAATAGTAAGTCTTTAGTATGGACTTGGAAGTTGATTTCGGAATTAAATGAGCGTATAATTTCAAACCTAATAAGTCCGAACATATTTTTTGTAGGCAGGTCTAGGTCACCACAATGCTTTAAAGTTAAATTGCGATATAAACTATATCACTCGTACGGATATTGTATCCCCGTGAACAGTGTTTCATTCAATAGACTTTAATAACGTGTTATTCTTAATTCCATCTGATCAGAAAATGTAACGTTATTTTCTAAGTGCCTAAATATAAAATTGACTTAGTTAGGTATTTTATTATAATTTGAAGCTACGGAGTTATCCACAAATTATTTCAGCAAAGGTTTTCATCGTAATCAGTATTTTTTAATTATTCTGCCAAAGATAACAAAATTACAATACGAGTGTGATTCCCACGGTGTCCGTAGCTTTCAAGTGAAGTAAGAATGAAAGAATGGTAAAATGAATGCACTTGTGCGTGTGCATTTTCAATACAGTTTTGTGCATTATTATAGTATAACTTAGTGACTGGGCAGCTCTACGATCAGTATTGTTGATCAAAGGGGCAGCTGCACTGACTGTAACCTGTCGATGTGTGTGACCGAGTGGAATGCTTGTGTAGCTTCGTTGGTATTTTTGATCGTACAGCAATATCTCAGTATTATTGCGTTTTGATGTACCTTCATTGTGAGGAGCTTGATGGCGCAAGTGGTTAGCGCGTTCGGCTGCGTTCGTTGAAGCTAAGTAACTTTCGCAGAGGTCGGCCATTGGATGGGTGACCAAAAATTTACTATCTCGAGCACCTCCGAGCCGTGAAGGCACGGTAAGCAGTTGGTCCCGGCTATAACTACAGTCGTTAACACCCACCAATCCGCACTATGCTCGCATGGTAGTTCATGGCCCAATATTCCTATTGGCCTCTGCCCCAGCAGTGAGGACATTAATGTCAAGTTACCCAAAAGTAACAAATTTCTTAATCTGATTTTTCTGATCCTTAATCTATTGAGTTATTTTAATACTTTGTGGTATAACTTTTGGTGTGGTTATCTATACAACAAAGACCCACTTGTGGTCATACAACTAATATATTTGGTTGCTTGTTACTCAATCATGCAAAAACAGCTGAACTGATTTGGTTGTTAGGATACTTTTTATCCCAGGAAAGTATTAGGTTACTGTGGAATTCTCAAAAAACTAAAATTTAGCGAGGACGAAGTCACGGGTGGAAACTGTTGTGCCGGCACTTCACTTGGCTATGTGAATTAATAATTCTACAGTATACGGCCAGTTTATGGCCTGGATTGAGACATATGATGCTCTTTATCCCAGCAAAAATATAGGTAATTGTAGGATTTTCAAAAAACTAATTTTAACTCAGATACAGCAACGATATTAAATAACTTAGATACACCACGTCCGCTCAAAATGTGTCCCAATCAAGAAGTGCTTGAACACCACTCAAGCACTTCTTGGTTCACAGTCACGCGCAGACCGTTGACAAGTAAAGATGCCACAGAGCTCCGAGAAAAAATGCGAAAAAAATACTTATAGTAAAGTGTAATTTTTTAGATAGGTACCTTATCAATGTTTGTTAATTTAACGCATTTAAAGCAAATTTTGTTCTAATACTGACTATAAACTGATTTAATAGAAAATATTTGTGATATTCAAATGCATACTCGGTAATATAGCCGTCTCTATTCCTCGCGATCCGTACCTCCTGTGTTGGTAACAACGCATTCAAAATTGCGTGAAAAGTCAAAGAAATAAGGTCTATATTCTTCCGCATATAGCAAATAAGTCGTAAAATTTTACGAGCTTGCATTCCGAACTGTCATAACTCTTTAACGCATGCGTTTTAATTAAGACCTTATACAGTATGATTTAAAGGTAACTTTCAATGTTCAAGAAATGTACCTTTTGGACAGGTTTCGGCCATGATTTTGTTCGTGTTGCTGTACCTAGGGTATTTAATATCGTTGAGATACAGTCACAAGCGGCCACTAGGCAGTGAAGTTGTAGGTATTCTTTTCCCCCGATCATCGAAAAAAAGGTACTCATCTCCAAATCGTGGGTTAGGTCTAGGACATAAGTCGCTAACGCGCGATCCGATATTGGGTGTTTATCGAAAAGATGATAATTATTAGTATTAGAGCTTTAATTCAAATAAAGTAAGCCATAATATTATGTTGGTTTTCGCAATTTTCCTATTCGTCTGAATCTTTTTTTTACCGGCCATCCTTCCTTACCAGATTTCCCACCCTGATAAAGGCTTGCCCACACTGCGTCAGACATTACGTAGTCGCCACTCGAGAGAGAACCTACAGCCTGTCAATAAAGTCATGAAAAAAGTCATTTTTAACACGCTTTTTTTAGGTAGACTTGTATGTAACTATGTAATAAAATCTAAGAATCTGAATTACACGCACTTCTAATTCTTATATAATCCTGAAAATTTTAACTGAATTGTTAAGTATTATGAATCACGTAATATATTAATTGATTTGATAAATATTGTAATGAATAGCGCCCCACGCTTTTTCAGTTTTAAGTATGTATGTTAAAATAAACTATAAACATGGTTTACTCTAAGGCCCTAATAAAGCAAAAAGAGTGTATATTTATATTATTTTTGGCTTTTTAGTGCAGTAAATAAAAGTGTTTTTTATTTTTTTTAAACTATTAATTTTACGGACACTTTCTAAAGGTGGGAAATAAAAAGAAAGGAGTCATTTTAATATATTATTATCCAGAGCCCAAATACTCTAAACTAAAATGAATATTCCTGCGACATCAAGTTGCTGGTTGTTGCCTGCCTCATAGGATTCACTGGAACTGGAATCATCGTCATCTGCACAGAGTTTCACAGGCAAAATTTTCGGTTTTCAAATTTTACACAGATTTTCCATTCTTGTGGAATTATTGCCTGAAATGCTTCTTCAGCTAAATAATACTCGCGTTTTGCAGCAATGGTTGAAAGTCTGTCTTTCAAGGTCACAATCAAAACTTATATTATTTTCTCTCACCACTGCTAATAGTTTTCTCGTAAAAACTTTTTGACGAACCAATAGCACATAATATATACACACTTTTGTGTTTTCTATCTCCATTATTAATATTCGTCCACTATGCGTCGAATCGTGCTTTTGGAAACATCTAAAACAAAGGCAAGTTAGATGATAAAAACCATTCATTCATTCATCATCAACCCATGCTCGTCCACTGCTGGGCATAGGTCTCCCCTAATGCATGCCACTGCTCCCGATTTTCTGCCACTCTCATCCAGCCCACTCCAGCTAGCCTACGAATGTCATCGTCCCATCTTGTCTCAGGGCATCCTACACTATGTTTACGGAGTGGTGGTCTCCACCCAAGAACTTTCCGGCTCTGCCACTTCAGGATAAAAACCATGTTCACATTTAAATAATATTACAAAAGTATCAAATCTGTAGGGCGTAGCATAAGTTGTTAGTGAGTTTTATAACCTCAATACAAAGTAAACAATTCATCAAATCAGATGTATGAAAACAGAAATGGTGGTCACGGGAGTAGAATTCATTTATTTCTCAATGATTTCTTACCGGCTGGCTTTGCTGTTTAACTGTAAACGTCATCAAATTCGTAAAATATCATTCTCAATTGAAATATGGTCTTTAAGTTCTGAAAAACATAAAATATGACCTTCCTCGCTTGTTGTAGAAACAGTCCGATCAATTTGATAACACGTAACGCTCAAATTAAAAATAACTCGAATTAACACTTAAAACAAAATACCTTAACGTGACAACTGAGATACACTATTTGACATTAATTTGGTGTAGCCAGTACCAGCGAAGCCATTAGTTCCTCAAACATTCTTTTCGTGAATTTATAGCTTCCCAAACTGTCCGGCCGTCAATTTTCCGAACTCTGTCTCTTGTCCATTACATTCGTCACTTCGGTTTTGGTTTTTCTACTTATCTCCTTTCTTTTCTTAGGACTTTTATGAAGATAAAAATAAGAAGCCTCTGAATCCCATCATAATTCGTAAG